TTTCCCACCACGGCGGCGGTTTCTTGTGGCTGCAGGACTCCGAAGTCTGCCGCCTCGTAGGTCTGTATCTACATATCCCATCCGAATAGAGTGAGCGGCCCACAATTGTGGCTAACGGATGATATTTATATACATATATACACTTACCTGGTGTTAAGCTTTGAGGGTGTGGTGAATCCACTCTTGTCCCGCTCATCCTTTCTTATTCCTATCTGGTTTGATTTCTACCGTCGATAAACTCAGGATCCGGCGAGCGGCCCAGAGGATTATTCTGCTTTAATTTCTTTTTCGATTACTTATGAATTCTTTTGTTTTTCTTTTACACATTTTTGTATGTTAAATAGTTTTTGTTTGCATATTTGTATCCACCCTTCGCCTTTTCTTTTAATTTTTTTATGGTTGCTTTATTTGTTATTATTTTTTGTTTGTGTTTGTTTTGTGTTTCATGGGAGTGGGAGGCTGTTATTATTAGATTGGTTTGGTTTTTGACGCTGGCGAGTGTGTGCAGCGACGATACAAATGGAGAAGAGAGCCCCGCTTGAAAAGGTTTGTGTCGCGGATACGGTGGTACAGGCGTGCCTGGCGCATGCCTTTACGACGGAACAAGAAGAGGTGATGGGGTTGCTACTTGGGGAGGTCACCGTGCATCACGGTTGTGGTACGACGGCTGCTATTTCTTCGGAGACGGTGAGGGTGGCTGCAACCGTCTCTCCTGCAATTTCCACAGGTGCTAAATCTTTCGGTGGGAATGTGAATGCTCCAACACCAACACCAACGTCACCGTCCACCGTTCGTAAGCGTGCCAATGTGTGGGGTGCTTGGATTTTGCAGCGCAGTGTGAGGCGTGCCGACCGTGTTGAAATTGCCCCAGAGATGCTTGCCGGTGCCTCCGATGAGGCGGAGCGCTACACAAAACAGGTGGGACATCATACCCGCGTGATTGGGTGGTACCACAGCCACCCCCGCATCACGCCATACCCGTCGCAGGTTGACCTTCGCTCCCAGGGCTCGTACCAGCAGATGGAAAGCGGTTGGGTTGGTTTGATATTTAGTGTTTTTTACAGCGACGCGACGAACAGGAATGGCGTTTCTATTCACTGCTTTCAGACAGGTCCTGGCGAAACGCATGAGAAGGTTGAGATTGAGATTGTTCCTGTTGGAAGTATGCCGCTGAGGTCATTACCACCGTGCGAAGTTACGCACCGTCTTCTTCATGTATTTCGTTCCGAGGTCAATGCTGCAGTGGAGCTGGTTAGGCGGCGTTGCAAGGATGCGCCTGACGCAATGGCGGCAGCCTTTGCCCTACAAGAGGTTCAACTGTATACTCTTGAGAAGTTGGTTGCGCAGCCTACCTTGAGGCATCTAAGAGCCTGTATTTCCTATATGGAGCGTGAAGTGAAGCGTTTGGAAAAGGAGTTGGCTGCACAAAATTCTTGACAACTTTTTTTTTACGGGTGTTTTTTTCCCCGCTCCTTTTCTGTTGTGGCATTTGGGTTGCTTGTTTGTTTCCCTTTACAGAAGGCGGAAGGGCGGCGCAGAGAAGTTTGGGGTTTAGGGCGGTGATATATATATATTGTTTGGAGCGTTTCTCTTTGGCCATTTTGTTTTGTGTCACGGTAGCACAACGCCAGATGTCTTTTAATCTTCGTGATGGCTCCTGGCTGTACGAATGGGGCGGCAGCCGGAGGACTGGCGACGGTGACTGTACGTCTCTGCGCCCCACGAATCGGACTGTTGCTGGTGCGGCAGCGAAGGATGCTCTTTTGTCTTGCAGCCCCGCTTTGCGCAGGGCCGAGGGGAGGCTGTGCGGAGGCAAATGTGGTCGCTGGATGACTTTGATATTGGGAGGAAGTTGGGTGAGGGACGCTTTGGCAAGATTTATCTCGCGCGGGAAAAGCGAACGAAGTGCGCCGTCGCAATAAAGTGTCTGTCGAAGGACATGATCCGCTACCACGGGCTCGCCCACCAGTTAAGACGGGAGGTGGAGCTGCAGGAATACGCGGGACGTTGTCATCGTCACATTTTGCGCCTCTTTGCATACTTTTGGGACGATGTGCGAGTGTTTTTGGTGCTGGAGTACGCGGATGGAGGGAACCTGCAGACACTGCTGGACACCCGAACGCAGCACCGCGTGTCGGAGGAGGAGGCGCGGCGTATTTTGCGGCCGTTGCTCTCAGCACTCGCCTTCCTGCATGAGCGGGATGTCATTCACCGCGACGTGAAGCCGGATAATATTTTGTTCAAAGCCCAAGCGGTGAAACTGGCTGATTTTTCATGGGCGGTTCGGCTTGACCGCAGGGTTCCCCAACACTCCCGTCGCTACACGCTTTGCGGCACGATGGATTATCTTGCACCGGAGCAGATCTCAAGGCGGGGTTGCACAACGAAGGCCGATGTGTGGGCTCTCGGCATATTGACGTACCGCATGTTGTGCGGGAATCTGCCTTTTGAGCATCTCTCCGCATGGGAGTTGTGTGCCCGAATCACAAGGGGGAACGTGCAATATCCCACGCATCTTTCAGTGGAAGCACAGAATTTTATGGAGTCTCTGCTTTGCGTGGATGAAGCGAGCCGACTGTCATGTGAAGAGGCCTTGAAGCATCCTTTTATTGTAGGCAACAGTTGCAGTCTACATGAGGCCAGTGCCGAGACGGAGCTACCAAGCGCTGTAAGTTTTCAGTGCTCACCCACGCCGGAGCATTGGGACAACCGTTTTGTGCGCGTGTCGCTGCCTACTTACGGCAAGGCACCAGCTGTTGTTTTTGCGCAAAGACGACAGCCGCAACCTCAACAGAAGCAGCAAACAAACAACAGAAGTGGTGGGGGCGGTAGTAGTCGGAATAGTATCAACAGCAGCAATAGTGCTACTTGCAAGTGGGTTGCTACTGCTGCTTGCAGTCGTTCTCTTTCGGATGGGAGTTTTGTAACGGTTAGTTCTTCCCATTCCACGGAACGCATTGCGAGTGCACCTGACCTGACCACCCCTAATATCTCTTCTGCCCCGCAGAGAGAATGGATTTGTTCAGGGAGGGCCATTGCCAATGGCGAAACGTTAAAGAGTGGCTCGGAGGAGGTGGCGACATCAAGCCAAGGGGCGAGTCTCAGCCGTCCACGCAACACACACAGCACAAGTGATAGGAGCGGCCTGGCCACAACGCAAATTGGAAATTTTATAGGCTTCTCACCGCCTATTCTTTGCCCTAATGACGCCAATGACAATGCGGAAGAGAATGGGGTTGATGAGAGGGAGGCAGATTGCGTTGTACAGCTGCGCTTTGACGATAGTCTTCTGTCCCTTTCGCAGCTCACAGCCGCGTCGGCAAGCACGGTTGATGCGGCAGAGAATTTATAGTTGAGAAGGGGGATTTCATCTCCTCTTTTTTTCTCCGAGTAGCCGATGCTTTTTTCTCTCTTTATGTGTGTGTTTACCTCTCAATGTCCCTTCTCCCCTTTTTTTCTTCTTTTTAGTGCGATGTCATGAATGGGTTACGGCAAGAATTTTATGCCGTTCTTGTGTTTTTTTTTTTTGTGTGTTCTCGCTCCTCCCTTCCTGCTAGAGGCACCATCAGTACCATAGATTCAAACATTAACAGCGGCCCCAGGCCCGGGGACACACACAGACAGACAGAAACTTAGAATTGTGAGAGGGAGGTGTATGCAATAGATTGAGTGGAGAGGGACGCGCATCGGTGTGCGGGGTCATAACTTGTAAAGGGGGGTTTTGAGGGAAAAGGAAGAAAACCAACAACAAAAAACAAAGCCGTTCAAGGAGTGGTATATATATTTATATATAAACCACACAGTGGAAGGAAATGAAAAGCGGGAGAAAAAGTTCAGAGAAGATGTTTGTTACTTTTTTTTTTCTTTAATTCTGTTTGTATACATCTTCATTTGATCTTTTCCACTTTTTTTTCCCTTTCTTTTAATGAATTCAGTTGAGTGCATTTATTTTCCGTGGGACGTGTCGCTGTTGTGGATAATCAGTATTGTTATTATTATTATTATATATTTTTTTGCTTCTTGTGAATGTTTCTGATGGAGGCGGTGGAAACCAACAGGAAAGAAGGAAAGGAAGAAGAGCATATAGCGGATGCCACTGGACCTGGTGGGAAAGTTGCACCGCACCGTCTACATTGAAGGCTGCCCGTCAACGGTGCGGGAGGACCTCTTGCGGCTTCTTGTAACAAAATGCGGCACAATAGAGGGCTGGGATCTCATGGGTGAGCGCCTTATTGTTGTTTTCAGTAGCATGAACAGCATCAGCACCGCCATTACCTTTAATGGTACGGCCTTTGGTGATCTGACGAGCAAACTCTTTCTGTGGGTGGCGACCGAGTCACCTCCGGCAGGGGTGACGCAGCAGATGGCAATTGCTGACAGGGGCGATGGCGCGGTAGGGGCTCCACATTCGGCAGAGGAATTGAAATCTGCACGCGAGGCACGTGAAAGACGACTAGCCGCCATTCGTTCAGAACTGGCGCCAGAGATTGAGATGGCTGAGAGCACTGAGAACAAAGAGGCGAGAATGTTGGACCTCTGCGTGAGGCAGCTCAAAGCTCTCGGAACGCTTACCAGCCACGCGCTTGTTGAGGCTGAGAAAAAACTAGAGGAAATTTCCACGCACCTCAGCGCTTCTCAGAATTTGCTGGAGAGTCTGCGTAGGGAGAAGCTGGGCAAGGCGACTGCTCTACCCGCAGAGCAGGCGGAGGGCCCTGATTGCACTGCAGATGCCAATACTGCTGTGGTGGCTGCTGAACTTCCTGGAGTGTTGGGCGAGCGAGACGATGAAGTGGCACGACGTGTAGAGGCGATGGTGGCCGCGGCGGAAGATATTGGCCAGTGGAGAATGCGCTTTCGAGAAAGTTGAGGGGTATTCCTTTTGACTATTTCAGGGGGTGAATGGCGTTACTGTGAGTTTTGTTTCGCCTTCGTTTCTCTCTTTGCTGTTGTTCAACGGTGGGGACCATTTACAGCTGAGACATCAATGTTTGTTGGTTCTTTCTGATGGATTGGGTGGCTCTTGTGGTGGGTGCGTCCCTCCGATTTTCCCTCCCTTACATATTGACGGGGATTCGTCTTTTTTTTTTTTCTGTTATCGCGTTATTACTGATTTTTTTTTCTTTTTCCAGCGGGGGAGGGGGTAGCTTTCGGGTCAGATGTGGACTGCCGTGAGGGGAACTAGTGCGCTGAGGCGTGTGAATTCCCCAATGTTGCGCTGCCGCTGGCGTCGAAGTGTTACTTTCACTTCATCCGAAAAGGCCGCATCGTCACGAGCAGCGACATTGCGGACCGGGACTTACAGTGTGAAGGGATACGACTTTGTCGAGGGATTTCACGTGCTTGGGCCAGGCGCGGCGCTGAGCCGGCTAAAAGCAACGCTCAGCATGTACGGTCTGCTTGGCGTCACGGTGATCTCGAGCATTGCGTATTACTTGACAACACGCACCTACGAGCTGACGACAGATCCGGACCCGCTCCCCAAGTCGCGCTTCCAGAAATTTCCCTCTGACTATGCGGTGCTTCGGAACCGGTGGACTGGCAAACGCCACGTGATTGCATTGAGAGATGGCGACGCGAATGACAATGACACGAGGGAGGGGAAGCAACATGAATTGGAGGAGTCGGCAATTTTGAAAAAAAGAATTCGGGTCAACTGGCTGATTCATAGCGTGCGTCTTTATTTACATGTCACGGATTCCATTGTAGTGGTGGATTTGGACGCAGAATGTGATCCGTATCATTTTGCTTTGAAGCGCAATCGGGGTTCTTTAACGACTTCTGAAGTAGCAAACCATGTGGGTGAACCCGCAACAGCTCGGTTATTGTGTCGTTCACGTCTTCGTCCCATTGTAATACGCAACGAGTACCAAAAGGGAACTCTCCCGCAATACGAGCGTACAGTGGACACTGTAACGCGGGAATTGTTTGGGGAACGCTACCGGCAGGCAATTTTATCGCGCTCGGGGTCGATTCTGCACCCCGTTTTTGCAGATGAGCTGCTGAAAAGTGGGGAGCTGAACGGGAAGGAAATGTCATGGACCGATGTCGTTGGTGACAATGAGGCCTTCTCGGCGGAGATACAAAGGCGGGTGCAGAAGAAACTTGGGGAAAAAGTGATTCTCCTGCAATTCAGCATGAGAGTCCTCTGAATGTTTTTTTTTTTTCTCTTCTTTCTCCTTCTTGTTGTTCTTGTTGTTTTGGAGGAGTAGGACGGGGGAAATGAGAAAAGGAAAAGAAAGCATAAAGAATATATATATATCTGTACCTATATGTACACGATGGTGGTGGTGGTGGTGCGGCCGTGTTGGTGCCGCATTTGCTTTTGAAGTTTAATTTTGTGTTTTGTGCTGCCGCGTTGATTGTCGTACTTTGACCCTTTCTTTCTTTCTTTCTTTCTTTTTTCTTTCTTTTTTATTTTCTTTGGGGGTCCGTGGCACCTGTTGCCGGGCTGTGACCCTCCCTAAGGAGACGCAGGAGGAAAAACAACAACAAAACAAAAAGGGGGGCGGGAGATGTGGCGGGGCGTAACGCTGCGCATCTCGCGGCGTGGCGCACTTCTCGTCTCCAAGAAGAACTTACGTCTGAAGTGCGGGGCCTGTCGTCGTCTGTTGCCCGCGGCGCACTTCAACAATACAACCGCGCCGTCTCAGTCCCTCGTCTGTGTGGACTGCAAGCGTCTGTGCATCCTCTGCGGCCTACACCTGACGGTTGACCGATTCACGGATGCCAGCGCTGAATTGTGTGATAACTGCCTGGCGAAACGACATGTGGCACGGGAGAATGTCTACTTTCGTTATCCAGTACTTAAATATCGTGCCTGTCCGTTTAGTGTTGACCAGATGCGGGAGGAAATTCGCCGCGAGGAGGGCCCACGAAGATGAATTGAGTGATGATTATTATGTGTTTTTTTTTTTGTAATTATTCTTCCACTGTGCCTCTCCTAAAAAAAATTCTCTTGCGGCATTTGTCAGGCATCTGCGCTGCGGTGGTGATGGTTGCAGGCTTTATTTTATTTCATTTTTTCTATTTATTTCTGGCTCACTGTCTCACCTTCAGAATTACGCGTGGCATTAGCGAGGGTACATTTGTCTCAATTTAGTTGTTGTTTTTTGTTTGTTTGTGTTTTTACACACGCGCGGACATTTGCGTGGTTACATTGACGCCCATTGAACTGTATAGGACTTCTGCCAATGGGACCCAAAGCGAATTTCAGTAGCGTTCGCCCCACGCAAATCTACTTGTTCTACCCGAATATTATCGGTTACGTACGTCTCCTACTTTCCCTTGGTTCGTTTGTCGTTTTAGGCAACTACCCTGGGCTGTTTCTTACGTTTTATACGTTGTCTTTTGTGCTGGATGCGGCTGACGGGATGGTTGCGCGTCTGATGGATCAGTGCTCACACTTCGGTGCCATTTTTGACATGCTGACGGATCGTGCATCGACCGCAGGTCTTCTTTTGGTGTTGAATCACGTTTTGCAGCCAATGCCCGATTGGTGTACAACGTTATTTGCCTTTCTTGTCTTTTTGGATGTAGCCTCTCACTTCTGCCGCATGTACGTCACACTTTTTTTTCGTAAAGAGTCCCATAAAGACATTTCTGAAAGTATATTTTATTTGCTACGCCTGTATTACTCGAACCGCAAGGTGATGTTTCTTTTGTGTGTTGGACAGGAGTTTTCGTACATTCTCCTCTATGCGTACTGGATGTACAGCGAGGTGGATTGGGTGCGGCGTGTCACATTTCCTCTGTTGACCGTGTTGGGTTCCCTTAATGTATTGAAGCAGGTGGTGAATGTGCAACAGCTGATGGATGGCATGTATCATCTTGCCGTGCTGGATGCGAAGGAGCGTGAGGAGCGTGGAAAGAAGAACTAAAGAAGGAATTGCCAGCCGGATGTAATGATTTTTTTTTTTTCTTCTCTCTCACATACATATATATTGGTTTACAGGGAGGAGCTTTAAAGAAATAACAATCAACCAATAGTCGAATGAAGAAGAAACAAACAAACAAACAAACAAACATTGATAATAATAAAGTATTCGAAGGGAATTTAAAGAGCGAACGGGAAATATATTATTATTATTATTATTATTACTTAGATGCATTGATGGGGGATTATCATTATATATTTGCATACATCTTACTTCTTTTTTTCTCGCTTTCTCTCTCTCTCTCTCTCTCTGCCTGTTGGTTGGTTGGTGAATGCTTTGGATGCAATGCACCCATTTAATATCAACAGCCTGTTGCCCCCCCTTTTTTTTTTTTTTTTCACTGGAGCTGTGAATTTTCTCCGCACTTGTCAATACTGTCGTAAGAGAAGAAAGTGAGTGGACGAGTGTAAACAAATAGCAAGTTGTATCAAAAGGACCGATTGACAAAAAATTGCGGAGTAACGGCCGGAGGTGGTTATCACCGCGTGTGCCACTGGCTACAAGCGTAGAGGCTTCGTAGTTGCATATGCAGGGGCCAAGTCAGGTGAATTCGACCTCTAAAAAAGTTGTACGTCTCACTCGTGTGAGACGTTCTGTAGATATGGGAGATAGCAGTAATATTAGCGCTAGTACTGGGAACTCCAGTTTACACGATCAGCCTGTGGAGATGCCATGTGCGTCAAATGTGAATCCCCCCATGGATGGTACTGCTGCATCTGCTTTATCTACTCCTGACGTCACGCAAGTTGTGAATTCACTGGAGGAGGGCAATGCATTGGTGAAACGTCTACGGCAGCTGGAGAATGAAAATGCTTCTCTCGCCACTGCCCTTACGAAAGTGTGTGACGATAACGCAAACCTGGCAAAGCATGTGGTCAAGCAAGAGGCGAAGTGTGTGGCGCTCTCGACGAGTCCAATTTCGGCGACTTCGGTGTTGCGTTCTCTCTTTGAGCCAGAGAAGGTTGGCTGGTTTGGTGGCTCGAAGACGGCAGCGCGCGAAAACTTGGAAAAGATGATGGAGGAGCTTCAAAATGAGTTTCTCGAGTACCAGGCGAGCCATGCCTCCTCCAATGACGAGGTACAGGCACTCATTGGCGAACTGCAGAGTGCCCACATGAATGCGCAGCAGCTTTCGATCATTCTGCATGAGCAACAGGAGGTGATTAGCCGCGGGCCGTTGAGCGTGGCGGTGCGCATTTTTCCTCTTGAGACGGCGGCGGAGAGGGTGTCGCTCGTCGACCTGCGGCATGAGTTGGAGCGCCGCTCAAAGCGAGAAAACGAGTTTCACCAGGAGCTTAGCAGAGCACGAGAGGAGTTGCAGGTGAAAATGGTAGAGAACGCGCGGCTGCAGCGGGACCTTCAGGCCCTGCGTCTGGAGGGCAACCATAGTAACGAGGTGGAGCGGCAGTACATGACCGACGAGATCTCGCGGCTCAAGACGGAGGTGACGCAGCTGCGCAAGACGTTGGCGACGGAAGAGCAGCTGCATCGACTGAAAGTGGGCGAGAATGCCGCCTTATCGCAGCGATTAAGTGAGACAGAGAGCCGTTTACACGCCTCCAACGCGGAAATGCGGGTGCAGCCGTCTGAGGCTCCGTGTGATCGCTGCGGTGAGTTGCAGCGGGAGTGTGACGTAGCGAATGAGCGCCTGCAGACGGTTACGCGGGAGATGCAGCAGCTGGGGATGCGGCTGTCGGAGCTGAAGCAGGTGAACGAGCAGGAGGTGAACGAGCTGCAGCGGGAGAAGTCGGAGCTTGAACAGAAACTGAACCACAGCGTTGCACGCGACACGCTGGTGGCGGCGGAGTCGCAAAACAAACATCTCCTGCAGGAGCTTGAGTTCACCTCTGCGCGGGTGAAGGAACTGGAGAAACTTATCGAGCGGGAGCGCGAAAAGACCACCAGCGATGCCGTCAAGAGCAGCGATGAGGGCAGAGGGACGCTGAAGGACAGCGAGATTCTTGAAGCGCTGGAGCGTAACCGGGAGCGCATCGCGCGGGTGGAATTTCAACGGGATCAAGTTATTGAGGAGGCGAAGCAACTTCGAGCGGTTGCGGTCACGAAGGAGGAGGAACTCGTTCGACTTACCCGCGCGTCGCAAGAAGACAAGCAGCGCATCAATTTTCTTTTGAAGCGCTGCGTGACGTTGACAGGCGATCTAAACAACAGCATTGCCGCAAAGGATGCGCTTAATGAGGAGTATGAGAATGCACAGTTGAAGCTTAAAAAGTTGCTTCGTGAAGGGGAGGAAATTGTACGGCTCCAACAACAAGTCACGGATCTGAAGAAGGAGAACGATGCTCTGCAGGAACGTCTCTCAAATGTGGAGGTGTTAGAGAATAACCTTGTCAAGGCAAAGGAGACTATTGCCTATATGGAGTTAGCAAAGAGTCAAACTATAAACATGAGTCAATACGCCGAACTGCAATCCAAGACGTCTAAGCTGGAAAACACTTTAGAGCCTATCAAGAAACAGCTTGAGGAGGCACGGAAAGAGTTGGGACGCATAAAAAATGAAAACGAGAGTCTACATGCAGTTCTGACACGACAACAGAACACAATTAAGTCGCACGAGGAGCAAATGGAAGCGCTTCAGGCAAACGACGCCAAAATGCGGGACAAAACGAATCAACTCACCAGTGAGAATACACGTCTGCGGGACGTAAATGAGACGCTGGAAGCACAGATGAACAACATGCAGGATGGCATCAAGGAGATGGCGGTGAAGTTGGAGCAGGAGCGCACACGGGCTCAGGTGGCGGCTGAGGCAACACACAAGGAGGAGATTGCACAATTGCGGCGTAAACTCGAGTCGGCAAATGCGACCTTGGCGACGATGCAATCGACACAAGAGAACTTTGTCCCGGAGGCCATTCACAAGGCGGCCCTGGCGGAGAAGGGACATGTTAGCGAGGAGCTACGACAAAAGACATTTGATCTTGACCGGCTAAAGTCTGAAATACTCATCTACCGTCAAACGATCAACGACTTGGAGACAGAGAACGAGGAGCACGTGCGGCAGATTGAGTCTCTGCAAGAAAGCCATAAAAGAGATCTCACTGCCGCGGCAGATCGACTTTCGGCGGAAACAAAGAAAGTGACGGAGGCCAATGAGGCGTTGGAGGGACTTCAAATGCAGATCAATGAATTTCAACAGCGGGAGGAACAATTGCTATCGCGCCAGAAGGAAATGGAAGAGGCGGCGCAGAAACACCGTCGGGCCTTTGAAGGTAAATGTCGGCAGGAAGAGAAACTTCTTCAAACGGTTACCGCCACGAACCAGGAGATGGAGAGACAAAATGAGGAGCTGACGAAAGTGAAGAGTGCACTGTTAGAATATCAACGGCAAAATGCGCAGCTGGAGTCCGAATTGAAATTTGGGGCGGCACAAGGACCGCGTCAACAAGAGGAAATGGAGTCTGAGCTTGAAAAGCTCCGTGGCGAAATTCAACGTGTAAACGCGGAGAAGGCTACTTTGGAGATGGAACTCGGGAAGCTGCGAAGGACCGCAAAAAATGGTAGTTGGGATGGCAATGGTGGAGGTGTGGAGAATAGCGGTAGTAATAACAATACCGATAGTAATAGTAATAATAATGCGATGAGAGGTAAAGGCGTCGATGATCATGGTGGCCATGTTAACATGGAAACTGGGATGTCCTCGGATGCTGCCGTCCAGCACGCGCGGGCGGAACAGCTGCAGATGTCACTTATTCAGGCCCAGCGTCAATTGGAAGAGCAGAGAAAGGTTGGCGCGGAGGCGGCGGAGACATTTGATAAGGCGCTTGACAAGGCGGACGCTGAGGCCGAGGCGCTACGTGAGCGAATTCAGCAATTAGAGAGTGATCTCCATAGAATGTCACAGGAGAGTGACGAGACACACAGTTTGTCTTCTGCGCACCCAAAGAAACAAAAGAAGAAGAAGGCAGTCAAGAAGTCCCTCTCAACAATGGCCAAGATCGATGACCTGCAGGAGACGGATGTGCTGGCGGTGGCTGCCGCGGATGAAGGGGTGCGGCAACAGCAACAGCAGCAACTCGAGCAGCAACGTGAGTCATTAGAAAAACTTGAACAGGAGTTATCGACCCTCCGTGATGAAAATGTGCGACTTAAGGAGAATATTGCAACTCTCACACAGGAATTATTAGGGGCCCATGATGTTCTTGAGCTGGCAAGAAAAGCTACTGACTCGAAGACCGCCGAGCTGCGGGGGCAGATTCAGCTATTGGAGGCTCAGTTGCGGAACTGCTTGGCCAACACAGATGGAGAAACCGAGTTGCACCGTCTTGCGGAGGAAAATAGGCAACTTCAATCGGAGGTGTCTTTACTTTCCGATTCTATGAATGCGACAACGGGGAATCCTGACGCGACGGTGCAGCGACTGAAGGCGGAACTCCAAGCACTTGCAAAGGAGCTTGTGCCAACGAAGAACAAACTTGTTGAGTACATGGCAATGGCAGATAGACTGGGCATTCATTATCCCTTTTCACCAGACATGGAGGGGGTTGCTGTCCTTAGGCTTAAAGCAATGCATTTTGACACGGTAACGGGAAGAGTGCGGGCGTGCTCGGCCCCGCGACAACCATACGCCTCGTCTTTTGACAAAAACGCGATATCATCATCGGGTGCCAAGAAGAAAAAAAAGGTAAAGAAGCGTCAACCGCAGGGAAGTCATGTCGATGAACTTTCAGATTTGCGGTAAATATAATGGAGAGGGCTCGCTGTTGTTTGATGGGTCATTGTGATTCAATGCGACGGTAATGGTGGCGATGATGGGCGATGTTGGCAATGAATTACGCCTTCTCGAGGTTCTTATTATTGTTATTATTTTTCCTTCTTTTTCAGTATATATATACATATATATTTCTACGTATATGATGCATTTACACGACAGATGTTGGCTGCACATTATATATACTTACATGCAGAGGACTTGTGTGCTGTTTTCAAAATTCAGGTAGTGCATTTACGGTTGTCTGTAGCCTGTTATTTGTGTGGCATCTGGTGTCCTTGTATATGGTGTATCTCCCCGGTGCTGTTCTCTTTTTCCTTTTCCCCCGAAAATGTTTATAATACACATATATATATATATATGTGTATTATACGGAAGGAGGGGAAGAAATGGATGCTTGCAAGGCGAAGACACAATGAAAAAAACAAAACAAACAAACAAACAAAATGACAATCAGCAGAACAACAACAGCAACAAAAAACAAAAGAGGAAAAGAGAAAAGGAGGGTTATTGTATGCGTATGATGTGCTTTTATTGTTGTTGTTGTTGTTGTGAATTTTATTATGCCCCCGTGTGTGTGTGTGTGTGTGTTTATTCCGCGAATGGCATGCATATAATCCCCTCCCTTCTAATTAAAAAACAAAAGAAAATGTGTGTGTTTTGTCTACATGAAGCGAAATAGGAATGGTGCAAAAGAAGGAACCCCACGAAGAGAGGGCTCGGGGGACGAATATTTGTTTCCAAGGGAAGAGCAGTTATTATTATTATTTAATAATTTATTGATTATTATTTTTTTTTTTGTTTCCTGTTTGCGTGTTTTCCGTTTTGGTGAAAAGAAGTAGGAAAAAGGAGGTGCAGACTGAAAGAAAGGTGGCGGTTTGTGTGGTTCCTTATGGGCGGCGGTTCGCAGGAAAGGTTTGAGGGGCGACTGAGCTCAGCGGACGGGTACGTGACAAACGCCCAACTTCCCGGCAACCACATCTACACAGGGGAGGTCTCTGATGACACCATGCATGGATATGGTGTTTTGACGACGGAGTTGGATGTGTACACGGGGAATTTCTATTGGAATATGCGTCATGGGCACGGCACCTTTTGCTCCAAGGTGGAGAAACATCCAACGGGAGTTAGGATATACGATGGGGAATGGAACATGGATGAACGTCAGGGAATTGGCAGCATTCAGTGGTGCAACGGAGACACCTATAATGGTCCTTTTTTAAGAGGGAGACCGCATGGTGAAATGGGCTCTTACAACTTTGCGGATGGTCGTGTGTACAAGGGGGAGTACAGACATGGCATCCGTCACGGTATTGGGCGGCTGACCCAAAAGAATGGTGAGTACTATGAGGGTGAATTCAAGGATGGTGCCATGACGGGGATGGGGAAGGGGTGGTACGCCGGAGGAAAGCGCGTTTACGAGGGAACATGGGAAAACGGCAAAAAGGTGCGTGGGAAGTTGACGTTTGAGGGCAGTAAACGTATGTACAACGGAGATTGGAAGCATGAAAAGCCCCACGGCGCAGGTGAAATGATTTTTGCCAACGGTGATCACTATATTGGCGATTTTGTCATGGGAAAGTTGCATGGCACCGGCTCCATTACGTACCACTCGCAGGGCGGGAAGACGTACTGCGGCTTCTTCATGGAGAACCAGCCACATGGGAAGGGGGTTCTCACGATGCCAGACGGCAGCAGCGTTGTGGGTTATTTCAAGCATGGTATACAACTTTCTGAAAATGACAGTGCGGCTATTGAACAGGTCATAAAAGAAACGGCATCATTACCCCATTTATTCGCCCACGATGACGCGTGTTCTACCAGATCCACGCCTGTGCAGGTTCAGAACACACAGCCTCCATCGGTGGCCTCATCTCTTTGGGATGTCACGGAAGTCACTGAGAGGAATAACAACGGAGGGGTACCGCCCCAGCAATGCTCTTTGGTAAATAATAAAAAGGAGACAAGAGAAGAAGCCAAAAAAAATGGCACAACCTTATCTTCACCGTTTGTTTTATTGGATGCTACCAGGGAATTGACAATGCCTAAACTTCCCACTGTAGAACTTGAAAATCCCCTGTTGGAGCCAAATGGGAGTTGCAGCAATCTTAGCAGGAAAAAAGAGGGGGAAATTTTGGTTGTTGCCGCCTCTGTTCTCGCCGGTACGATCAAGGATGGTTGTAAGGGATGGTTGGAGAAGTTTTCTATTGGACGGAGTTTAATTGGCAGGTCTAATTGGCGTCGCCGGTACTTTGTGCTTGCGCCATTCAATAAAGGGGTCAGCCTAAGTTACTTTAAAGACGAGTCATGCCACAAGCCTGTAGCATTGTTGCTCTTGAATACAAATGACACCCGCATTGTTACACGGCCATCGGTGCGTACACACAAGGAAGCGACACAACCAGAACGTGAAATATGCGTTATATACGTGGAAAAGGAAAAGGAATACAAACTACTTCTTCGTGCATATTCTGAGGATGATCGTGAATATTGGGTATATGCATTGAGCAAGTTATTCGACATAATTAATTACCCCTCTGATTTTCCCTTGTTGGAGAACGCTCAAGAGTAAATGGCCTACCTACCAGGGGGAAAAGAAAAAAAAAAAAAAAAAAAAGAAATGCCTCTGTGTCAAATTATCGTCTCATTTAAAATGTATCTGAGTTTGCTTGAAAAGTTACAGTTTATATATATATATGTATGTATGTATGCATCGTTATTAATATTTATATATTTTTATTTCCTTGTTTGTGCTTGTCTGTACATGTTTTTTTTTTTTCCTTTCTTTCTTTCTTCGTTTTATGGTAGCGTTTCTTTACTTTTGTAATTGTAAAGTTGAGGCTTCTACGTGTGAAGAACGATGGTTGAGTTGCCGTTTTCCCCCCCCCCCCCCCCCCCTCTTCCTTGCCCTATAGTGCTATGCATGCCTTCTTGCTTTCGTTGCGTAAGCTTTCTTTTTTTTCTTTTTGTTTTTCTTTCTCTGGTTCTTTTTTTTGGGGGTGGGTGGGTGGGGCGCCGCAGTGTCTTTTGGCCGGAGGAGGACGGCGTTACAGGGACGTCGATTAAAAAAAAAGGAACAGACGTGCTTACACGTTTTACCTATCAGCAGCACACGGTACAGATGCCGATGCACGTGCCGGACCCCGCGCCCTGCGCTGTTGAGTCCACATTGTGGCGCTCGTGTCTAAAGGAGTTTGACTACGGCCCGGATCGTCCCAAGGGGGCTTGTGAGAAGCAACGTGCCGGCTACTACGCCTGCATCAGGACGTGGAGAGAAAGACAGAACGAAGTGTACGATTACAACCGGTTTAATTTAGTGAAGGAGTGCGCAAAGGAGGCGGAGAAGTTGCACCAATGCATGATGGTCAACATGTTTGAGGCATCGCGCTGTCAGGAGACAATGACGCAATTGAAGCGATGCGCTGCGCGACACGATCCGGAGGTGCGGAGGGCTTTAGCAGATGATCCCACACTTATCATGTCGGAGGAGGAGGAGCCGCAGGGTATCAAGCGGCTGTGGTACCGCGCCATTGGCAAACTGTGAGCCACCGTCGCCACCATTGCCGGTCGTTTTGGGTATATTGTTTGAGAATTTGCGGTGCATGTATCCTCACTCACCTTCACCGTTTCTCTACCTCTGGAGTGACAGGGGCCTTCTGTAACCGTTATCTTGTTGGTATTCACAGAGTTGCAGCAAATAATAATATTTACGAAACAAAAAAAGACTTGTTGCTAAATAAATGCATATGTTTTTACGGATGCACACATGCACGGAAATGTCTTCACACATGCAAGGAGGCCGTGAAGAAACAGAAGATGCGGATGCCGGACGCACTACTGTGCGATGGCTCGTATGTGTTTTCCTTTTTTTTACCCCGTTTCCGAATTTGCCCTTCTTCTGCATGCGTGCTGAGGGGTTACGGGGCAACACACCGAGCAAATACAACAAGACAGAGGGAGAGGGAGAGGTGCGGGGGAGGGCTGCGGGATAAGAACCAGCAAGGAGCAGAAGCAACAGCAATAAGACGAAATTAACTGCAGGAGGGATGAAAAGACAGAAGGAAGGGGAACTTTTGTTTGTTTCTTTGTCTGCGGCCACCGTGAGGTCTTTGATGCACCCTGTCATTGCCTTTTTTTTCCCCCCCTCATCTCTTGAAGCAGGGCGGAAAGGTTAATTCCAAATGGAGGAAGGAGAAGGGAAGGCGAAGGTGCGGTTTCTTGTCTGGGGTCATAAGGGATGGATTGGTCAGGCATTTATGCAGCTGCTGGAGGCCTCTGGTTTTGAGGCTCTTGGCGCGGTGTCACGCGCCGATGATGTGGCGGCAGTGGAGCAAGAGATGCAAAGAATCCAACCGGATCGTGTCGTCAGTCTTATTGGACGCACACGCGGTGGGTCATGTCTCACAATAGACTATTTGGAGCAGCCAGGGAAACTCATGGAGAACATGCGTGACAATTTGTGGGCCCCCGTTGTGCTCGCACAGGTATGTGCAAATTACGGTGTACATTTCACGTATCTTGGAACGGGGTGTATTTTTCATTACGACGAGTCGGCGCACACGGTGGGTGGGGAGGACGGTTTTGATGAGGCTGCCGTCCCAAATTTCTTTGGTTCTTCATACAGTACCGTAAAGGGGTACACAGATCGTCTCATGCATTTACTTTTTAATTCTACCGCGCTTAATGCACGTATTCGCATGCCTATCTCTGCCGATGACAACCCGATGAACTTCATCACCAAAATTGCCAACTACGAGAAGGTGGTGAGTATCCCGAACAGTATGACGGTGCTGCCAGTGATGTTGCCGATTCTTATGAAGTTGTCTTTGAATAAAGTCACGGGGACCATCAACTTGACAAACCCGGGAGCCATTTCGCATAATGAAGTGCTGGAACTCTACAAGAGGCATGTGGATTCCGAGTACACCTACGAGAACTTTTCTGTTGAGGAGCAAAATAAAATTCTTCTTTCAAAACGCAGCAATAACTTGTTGGACACAAGCCGTCTGCAACAAATGTTTCCACAAGTGGATGATATTCACACCGCCGTTGAGAAGGTTTGTGTGGAGATTGCAAAAAACTTCCCTCGTGGAATTGTGAGGCGACGGATGGAGACAACGGAAAATGACTTGTGAGTCTCCGATTGGTTAATTATGACCCTTTTCTTTTCTTTTCCTTTCTTTTATTTTTTTATATATCGCAACCGTTGGGTATGTGCAACACCACACACAAAG